TTTGTACGAAGTTCTCGTGTTTATTAATTCAATAATACGAAATTTTGCGTTACAGTCATGTCCACCATAGGAATCTCATAATCGGATGATGAATCATATTCTTCTTCTTCTTCTTCGTACTCATATTTTCTACGCCTTGAACTAGAAGTTCTATAGTTGTTAGAGTAGTAACTTGATGAGCTCCTGTAATCTGGTTCATCATTGATTGTGAAGGACCAATAAAAGCCCCTCGTCCCGCCAAATGCCGAACGGAAAATGGTCTCAAATTCTACTTCATCATCATCATCGTCACAAAACTCGAAATCTCCTGTAATGAGGTAATGAAGAAAAAAAAAGTTACAACTGCAAATCACTCTTGGGTTTTCTTTTCACAAATATAAGAATCGAGGGATCTTTTCGTAGTTTTACAAGTTACAACACAAGTGAAGTTTTTTCTTTTTATTGGATCACACCTTCAGATGAGGCTTTTATAATTGTACTCTTTATTACGGACTAAAAACATGACATGAGAGTGTTAAACGTACTTGACGCGCGCGATGTCCTATATCTCGACTTGCCCTTTTTAGATCCATTTTCTGTGAAATTTGGTCTGAACCAAGAAGTCTCTCGATCAAAGTGTTGATCGAACTCATCTGTATCTGACTGCCAGCTCTGCCTCAAAGAATTTATGAGAGAGAGAAAGAGAGAGAGAGCACAATGGATAGACAGCTGACATTAATAATCTTGACTAAGCTCTTTTTAGTTTACATATATTCATTTTCTTTTAGAATTATAGCCTTGAGAATCTATAAAAGTGAACTAAACCACTCGGAAAATTTCATCTCGAAACGCTAAGTCACACTGTCAAACTAATACAAAAGGCCAAGGGAACATAAGTTTATTCCTGTTGGTCCCTCTGCTGATTCTCTGTTGGTCCATCTGCTAGGTGCAAGATGCAAATAAAAGGAAATGAAAAAACAGAACATTATCAACTGGATACAACCTGAAATAGGTGTTCTGCAAATTCACTGACATTGTGCAACAAAATCTGTCTCCTGAGCCTCTTGCTATACTGGTTACATTTCTGCAATTAAAAGTTGCATGAAAACAAAAGATTTCACTCATTATGCGTATTTGAAAGTGTTACAACGTAGTACAGACAAAAGTGTTAGAATTCTACTAAAAGAGAAGAAAAGAT